ACGTTGGAAGCACTGTCTGACGCGTCTGCCTCCGCGACCCGAAAGGAGAAGCGGCGATGGAAGATGATTAAGAATCCAGAAATCCACAATTACAGCAGCCAACACTACAAGAGGTAAGCGGTTGCGTGCTGCATGTTAAAACGTTCGTTCCTTGTTTGGCGAAGGTAACTCAGATGATGAATGCCGTACGGCCCGTCGATACAAACTCGATGTACTGGCGGTCACAGAAACTCGCCTCATGGGAAAAGGGATGCTTGACCTAGAGGACGGGTGATTATTTGGGTGATCAGGCCACAGAAGATTACGCCGTGACGGTGTGGGTATCGTCTTGTGCGCTACGGTAAGCCGGGCACTAATTTCGGATGTGTCCGAGAATCCCGGTTTGTGTGCATGGGTGTCGCATGCAGCACATGACCCAGCGTCCCCGGTCGTCACGGCGTGTCTGTTAAGCTTTTGGGCCACAAAGAGCTTCATCGTCCGCCAGAACCATTTTCTTCGTAAGGGCATTCACCATACCACGCGGATGCAATGTCATCATTAACCGTAAATGGAGCAGCTGGTTACTCGAGACTAGTGAGAACAGGCATGGGACCTGCATTGGGTCTGTTCACTACATGGTCGCAGGGGAACTTCGTCCAAAATTAGTCGTGTCACATCGACGCTTCTGGTTGAAACACATCAGTATCAGTGTCCGACATCGAGAGTCCAAAATATGACAAAGCGGCCAATCGCCTTACTAAAGAAAGGTAGAGATTTTTTAGTGCCACACTTAATGGCCAGTGGGAAAGTGACAACGTCAATCGGACACACAGACTTCACAGAGGAAGTCATTTACCTAGCGAAAAACGTAGTTAGGCTCAGGAGGAGTATAGCCAAGCAGCACTGGGTAACGGGGAAAAGGCACAGCTATAAGCAACAGATACGGAACATCAGCACAATATAGATTAATAGAATACATGCTTTAGCTATGAAGACAGGGAGGCAAAGCACATATCTCATGCTGGCAGAGCACGTGTCATGCAAGAAACAACAAAAACGTATGTGATCTGCCAATTATATTACTTCCAAAGAAGAACGCAAGCAAGGGACTTACGAAAGATAGTCTTTGAAATAGTAAGGATGCAGCAGATAGAGAAAGGAAAGGATCAGAAAACAAGGTCCTGACAAAATGATAGGATCTGAAAAATAATCGAGTCGTCTCAAGTGAAAAAGTTGGGAAAGAATGAGAAATAAGAAATTACCATATGTAAAGGAGAAAAATACAAACAAGGCTAAAACAAAACAGCCTAAAAACTGCTAAATACTAGTCAAGATAGAGCGAAGCGATATGAAGCGAAGAACAGTACAATTAAAAAATCAGAAAAGCACAACTGGATGAGAGACAAGTACAAACAAACGCTTACGAGGCTACAGTCAAAAGTGAAATGACACGGAAGAGAACATGGCATAGGGAAAAAACAACTTAACAATAAACAAACTGCAGGGCAACTCGTGACGAGACAAAGCGAAAACGGCTCCAAGTAAAAGTGATAGAAAACGACAATAAAATAACGTGCAACATCTACGACATTGAGAAAACATGAAAAGACTATGGCGATAGCAGATACAAAAAAGAAATTGCTTGTGATTAGAGACAATGGGACAAAAACCTTTTTGAGAAGACAGCAGCCGCGGCTAACAGAGATGGAGAGAAAACAAAAAAGACAAAAAACGCTACATATGTAAGACAAGAAACTATACCGGAAGATGCACGATTTTAAACTTCAAGGACAAACGAGAATAAGACAGAATATAAGCAGAGAAGACGAAGTACTCAAAACAGTTAATGAATTTCGCTGACTCATCCAGGGCTAAAGGCAATAAACAACTAATTACGGTACAGCAGCTGGGTCAAAAAACAAAAAAAACGAAACCTGGAGGAAATTAAAGGGCGTACACAATGAACATAGGAGAAGAAACTAACCTACGGAAAGAACTGACGAAGGGGAACTGAAGGACAAACTTACGGAAAGAGGCAAAGAAAATCAAGAAAGTAACACAACGTAAGTTACGGGATTTCAAAGTCTGAACACAAACAAGACAAAACAAAAGCAAAGTAATACGCCCTACGGAACGAATCACCACTTGCAGTGAAGAATATATGTAACAAGATGGCGGCCGGAACAAAGAAAATGCACCAACAAAAGAAAATAAGCGTGGATTAATAATAAATCAACTTACAGGTTGACAAAAACCAAAAAAAGTGAGAAGACGATCAAACAGCGCAAAGTACTTAAGATAACAGACTTCTTATCACGAGAAATAGCACCTTTGGATTACGAAATACTGACGGATGGAAGCTGCAACAACGGTATTAACGAGCATCGTTGCAGATGACGTCAGATTATTGACCAATTTGCTTGCCGCTAATTTTGATTGGCTGTGGCACTTGCTGTTATCTGCTGATTCGCTGAAATTGTATCAACTTTCGCGTCTACACCCATCCATGTTACAGGAGTAAACTTTATAGATTAGGTAAATGTCGAAGTTTGATGACATAACTTGAAATTCAGGCCTTTTACTGTAGCGCACAGCGGTAAATGGGTTAGGCTATGGAACAAGTTCGAATCGCGCGTTGCGACGTGTCAGGGATATGAGATAGAAATTTTTCGCTTCGTGATGTTTCGGCCGAAAACAATTCACGTTGTTAATCGAATTTCGTCGAAACTTATATTTTGTCATTTTAGGTGCCCTGACGGTGAACTGTTCCACGTCACCTGTGCTCAGCTGGGATGTTTTTGGATGTTGCCTAAAATGGCCTCTTTCTGGGAGATGCGTTGGTTTGGTCAACTGTTGTGTCGTCTCTGGCTGTTGTTGTTGGCCGTAGATCGCGCTTACTGCGATGCACCGTTTGCCCGTGCCGCCGCGCCCCCCGCAGCGCCCCAGGACCGCCGATCAAACGCGGAGAATGCTGCACCACCGAAGCAGGGGACGTTCACCGTCTTCAATTACAACGAATGTAACGTGGATATCATGAAATATTGCAGCAAATCCGGCGCGAAGGACGAAACAGCGTTGCTGATGTGTCTCCAGGACGCCGGTGCCAGGGAGGACGTTCTGACCGAAAGTTGCCAACAGGTAAGAAAGTAGTCGGTAGTTGTGTTTGTACGAATTGCGTTAGACAGTTGTCACGACTGCGGGTGACATATATTGAGGTAAGAAACTTTTTTTATGTTTGTGAAAGTGGACAACAAAGAAGCAGGCATGCTGTGTTGTACTGTTTTTGACGGGTATTCTCGAAAGGTCAGAGGTTGAACCCGTACTAGGCAATCTATGGTTTTTAATGCATTTTCTATGCGGTGTTGAAAACAACGAACGAACGATGTCGCCGTTTCCATTGAAGCTTTGCTAACGTTAGATGGTCTGCTCCATTTGGCATTGTTCATTACCAGTGTGTTTCACAATCCAATTCATTCTGCCTTCTATGCCGTAATTGTATGATTATT